GGGTTAGGTTAGGTTGCGCTGGATTGACTTGGGTTGGATTGCATTATGTTTGATCATGTGAGGTGTGGTTGGTAAGGAAGGGAACGTACGGCAAGGTAGTATGGCGCAAGTTTGACAGAGTTAGGTTAGGAGGTTGAATAAAATATTGGAAAAAATTTCTTATAGCGATTTTTAGGGTGGGGGGGATATTTTGTCTAGGGATATTTAGTCTGGAGATATATTGTCACGGGGATATTTTGTCGGGGATATTTTGTCCGGTGATATTATGTCGGGGGATGAAAAATCATGGAACCCATGCTGTAGCTACCACGTAATGAGCGCGTAACCAAATAAAAGGAGTTCTTGGTGCTCAGTATTTTTCTGAAACTGCCAAAAGTGGATCGCGATTTTGATTTCCTCGTCACTAAGATCCCTCTGTTTGAGTCTAATATGAATAAATATGATTCGATGTATGTATAATCGGTTTTCAATCTCCGCCACTGGGTAGTACGTTTTCGATAGACAGGAGCGTCGATAGTAATACATAGATACACGTATAAATACACACACACATAGGTACAAAAGTACATACATATGGAAACATCCACGTTCGTAGATTTTATTTAGTGCGCTTTAAATCATGTCGGAAATTTCACGCGAGATTCCACGAACGCGATTCCTGAATCCTTAAGCTGTCGCCTTGAGAAATAAGTGCTGATTTGTGACCACAGGACGAAACGATATGCCTCCTTAGCGATTTATGCGTGTCCGCGAGGGACCACCGCGCGTCTCGCAATTGGCGTCCGGAATTTTAATTTTGATCTCGAATAACATCGCCATATCACGAACCCAGCCACATCTCCAATAGCTTTGATAATAAATATTTATAGGACGAATGTCAATTGTGGGAATAACCAGTAGGTACCCAAATAAAATAAATCTTAAAACAGGAGACATATTGAAAGTAAGATTTAAAGCTTTTGATTTTTTTAGATAACGAAACTGGACAACTGTGAATTAGTAATGAACAAAAAATATTAACATTTATTCAGAAGCGGTTTTGTATCTAATAACAAATTTTAACGTTTTTTTTAGTTTTATCAAGGTTTTGAATAAAAAAAATGACAATTTATCTTTATGACCTTCTGTATACATACATATGTAAATATAAAACAATATTTTTTTTATTGTGATATTAATGTCTTTTATTGGCCAAACTGGTAGATTATTCGATTAAAGTATTATCGACGAAAAAACACAAAAATATAAACTGATGAATGAAATTATGGGTAAAGGTCTAGATGATTTGGGGGTGAGGTGGGGGGATCGAAAGGGAAGGTCTTCCCCACCATTAAAAGTTATGGGGGTTTATAAATATGCCAATTTTTATACATTTCTAGGCATGTAAATATTTATATAGTCATTCTTAAACAATATTCAAAGGTAAAACTAATGAAAAATCCATAAAAATATTGAGAAAGTTATATAAAACATTATTTAAATATCTTTATCAATAGGGTAGGTTACGTTAGGTTAGGTTTTCGGGTTTTGTTCAAGTGACCACCCTCTTTCGATCCCCCACCTCCACCCGCTTGAAAATAATTCTTTTATTGAATTTTATTTGAATTATAGTGTATGAAAATTGTCAAAATAATCAACTTTCAACCCCCATAACTTTTTATGGGGGTGAGACCGCCGAAATTTTTTTATGGAGTTTTACTCAGGTGACTACCCTCTTTCGATTTCCCCTATCCCCACCCCCATCTAACCCTCATAACTTTTTATGGGGGTGAGACCGCCGCGAACTTTTTATGGTCCAGTGGTGGGGGAGACCTCCTCTTTCGATTCCACCCCGAAGGAGGATAATTTGTTTTTATCCACATATTAAGTGATTTTTAATGTTTGTTTTCTATTGTAGCTACTGAAATAAACAAAGATAAAAACGTATGGAATCCTTCTCTAGCCTTTACTTCTTGGTTTTTTGCACACTGAATTCCACGCGCGACAAAATCATTAAAGTACAACTTGTGCAATTTTCTTAATGCTTTCTATAGCTCAATATATCATTAATTTAATTGGCAATGTCGCGTAAGCTTGTTCGATTGTATTTCAATTCCTCATCATAAATGCATATCGCGACACATTTCAGCCGTCAAGATTGTGATTCACTGTAGTCATCTATGCAACCGCTACAGCATTCTTCACGGTAACTTCCTTATAAAGATTTCTTTGAAGACTGCTCTTGTTTAACTTGAAGACTGGCCCTTTATTTGTATGGTTAATAGCAGGGATGTAGCCAGCTTTATCTTTGCATGGACTATGAGTGGACCACACCGATACAGATTTTAAGCTTCATCTAAGAAAGATGACTGGACTGACAATATGATCATTTCTGGTTTTTCATAACCTAAACTATGTTGACATGCAAAATCGTGAAGGGCTCCTCATTTTTCCGAACCAACGGGACTTGAACCTTGACGAAGTTCTTGTACAAACTAGAGTGGGTGGATCGGTTTGCGAGTTTCAATGATTTAGGGAACCGGACCGTAGGTTTAACCATAATTGGAGGGTTCTTAATGAGATACCAGACTAAAACAAGTCCCTGGAGGAGGGCAGCAGCTCTTTCAGTACTCAGGGTGGCAGAGACCACGAGGATTGGCATGGTACTCTGATGCACAATACTACGATGTGGAAGGCAACGGGGAAACCAGCACATTATGATATCCCAAGTAAAGCAAACCGAACTCATGATGGCGTCCTCTGGGGTAAAGCACTCCGGACGTAAATTAGTCCCCCATTAGGATGTCCGGGCGGGACCTACCTCGGGGGATTTAATCAATAAGTGCAATAGGGAAAGGTGCAATATTTCACGAGTCGGAGCGGGGAATGTTAGAACAATGAGGAAAGTAGGGAAATTAGAGAATTTGAAAGTTGAGATGAATCGACTACATCATTAGAGACAGTACAACTGTAGAGATAGATATAGAGGGGCAAAAGATTAGTATACTTAGATATGTAGATGATATGACTATTAGCATCTAGCAAGGAGGAGTTAGAGATGACTTAAAATGGAAGCGGTATTGACCAAACAGTATCGTATGAAAATAAATAAAACCATTACAGTAATAAAAAATACTGGCACAAAAGGGAAGAAGAAGTAGGGAAAGAGCGAATGTAAAGACGAAATATTAGAAGAAGTGGCTGATTTTAGGTATCTAGGAGGCCAGATAAGTCAAGACGGAAGATATGGTAGGGATATAAAGCAAAAGAATAGCGCAAGTTCGAGTCGCCTTCAATTAAAAGAAGTCATTTCTATGTTTCTATGCTTCCTGATTAATTCAGACATTTGAAAAAGATTAAAGGTGTATGTTTGGAGCGCAGTGTTGTACGGGTGGAAAAGCCTTCGAAATGTGGTGCTACAGGCGAATGATGAGGATACCGTGGATAGAGAAGGTTAAAAATGAAGAGGTATTAGAATGAATAGGAAGTCAAGTCAATAAAAAAAAGGCGAAATAAGTAGGTAGAGCACTTTCTCAGGCATGAAAATCTAGTGAGTGTCTAGTTAGGGAAATGCGAAGATTAGCTCAGAATAGGAAAGAGTGGACGTGCGAGTCCAGCCAGTTTTAGGACTGATGACTTTATGATGACGATGAAAATATGTTGAGTTCTGTGATAATATTATTATAGCCAGAAAAGTAAGGAATATCCAACACCGTATCTTTATTTTCTCCTAGGTTTGCATGTTATTTTGCACCACTTCTTAGACAGCAAATAGTAAGCAAGATAAATAATAATCAAGATGTACCTTAATCAATTAAAAAATCGAAAAAGCTCTCGATTTGAACGATGTTATCTTTCATTATGTGAAGCATTTTGGATTATGTGACGCTGAATGCATCCTGATTCTAGTTTTAGTATTTCGGACACACTAGTACTTACGCGAGAATTTTGTATTTCATGGACTTTGGTACACTCAGTCTCACCCTATGTTCTTATATAGTAACCCGTAGAATACTAGTTTCAACCATTTTTGATTTTGATAACAAACTTCTGTCGCTTTTGTTCAACAACTCTGCGTTCTAATAGTGAGTATCCTTCAGGGGCATTGACAAGAGTTCGACTGACAACCACCAGTCGTTAGTTGTAGCGAAACAAAGGGAGAAGTTGTTTAGCAATTTCTCGTCCGTTTGCTTTGGACGACATACAATGCAGCGATTGAGAACTTGGAAGTAATTTGTCCTGAATGTTCTCCCGATGCGATGTGGGAAAACCACTTTAATTACTGACTATTACTGGACGCCCTATCTGCTACTCCTTTGTTCTTCTAACTCCCGTAGTCACTTTTCCGTTGCAGATACGACTACGACGACGTCACTCTCTCTCTGGTGAGAATCATTCGATAGTAATTGCTTTTCTAGAATGACATACAACAGTACCTATATATATATAAGTACGCGCTTTATTGCTAATAGCGGCGAGTTCAAGGTGCTGTCACCAGGGGCGGCTGGCGTGGGTGCTACAAGTCGCAAAACTGTCGAGAACGTTAGATAGTTATAGGTGTACTTGTGCGATCTAATTGCACAAATTTACTAATAATTTAACTATGCGACACCCAACACTGATTTGCTTGTGTAAAATTGTCTTGCTGACCGTCGTATACTGAGTGGTAGAATTCCTTGAGTCCTGGATCAGGCGCGTCACGATATCCTTTACATCATTGGACTAGACAGCACCAGACAGCTCTGCAAACTCCTTCAGAAACCTAAACCGCCCCCTTCTACATCTACTTACTATTATAAAGTCACGAATTGAAACGATACAGTGAGCTGCATTAAATCCTGCTGCAGGTATGTCCTAAGGTCCTTTAGCATTAAAAATTAATTATCAGAATTGATAGTTTTATCGAGAAGATCCTAGATGCCGTAAATGCAATCTATCAATAATTTTACTTACAAACGTAATAATAGACTCGGCCTGATTTGAATTGTTTATTTTCTAAATATAAACAACAAAATTAGATAACACTTAAAGGTAAAATGAAAACAACAAAGAAAATGTAATTCAGTTCGTACATTATTGATATTAAGTATTATTAGATGTGCTTCATTACAACCCCGTGACTTCTTTTATGTAATCTCTTAATTCAACAACGTTGGCATAAACTCCCGGTAGGTTTGGCTTTGCACAACCATTGCCCCAAGAAACTATACCATGGAGTTGGTTGTTTATAACCAATGGACCACCAGAATCAGCCTAAAAAATTTCAAAATTGACACGCGCTGTTACAAAAATATTTATATTTATATATATAACATTATTTTTGTACAATTTTTTTTAAGAAAGGTATTGGTGTTTTTGCTGTTGATTTGAACAAGTTGCTCCAAACTTTGGGTATTTAGAGTTAGAGAAGCTTTGAAGACATTTCAAGGGTAAAAACGTGATCGTTAGACAATTCAAATTCCTATACTCATTTCCACTTGATAAGTTCAAATCCTTAAATACTGTTGGTCGAAATGTCATACGATCAATAGTTCCAAAGTTTGAAGCAGTTGATGCCCACATTTTAATTATTCCTGTGGGCAGACTTCAAACCAGACGTACCTGACAAGAATCTTTTCCACCTTCAGGCAAGCCGGCACATAACATCCGATCCGTAATATTTCCAGTCCCGTAAGATTTCCTACAACTCTCCATACTGACAATGGGAACGGTAACTGCTTGTAAATGATCTGAATATACACCCCCTTGTGACAGCAATCCATATCCAGCCACCGTGGCATTGGCACCAGGTTCGATCTTTTGTTTCGCTTTCGGTAAATTAACAGCTCGTATTTTAGATCCAAATTTGAGAGGGGTGGTTAAATTGAGAAGGGATATGTCGTAATCGAGGGTGGAATAATTGAACTTGGGATGGATGGCAACATCGGCAACTTTGATAACAACTCCTCCAGAGTTCGTTTTGGAAGTACCGGCACGAATGGCCAGATCGTTAACATTGTAGCTAAAATGTTAGGAATTACTTCTTTAAACTCAAAGACAAAATTCAAACGTCAAAAGAGGAGTCAAACTTCTTTCGGGCGATTTGACGTTTTAATCATAATTAAGCATCAATCTTCTCCTAAAACAGTCAGAATCTATTTATTGGTATTCTCAGTCATGAAAAGTTTAAAAACAACGCCATAAGAAGATATTTTTTGACCTGAAGAAGTTTCACTTTAAAGCAGTGAATGAGGTTCTTTGTGAAGACGGTACTTACAACTCTGTGCAATGGGCTGCTGTTACAACCCAATTCGGAGAAATAATTGAACCCCCACAGTTTTGTCTGTTTTTAAATAACACTTGGACAATGTAAGGGTGCCTCTTGACATCCACCTTGTGACCACCAACAATCTCCTCTTTCATAGATTCCATCATGGAGTAGATGAAACTGGGGAACTTGTAAAAGTAGTCGCTTCCTAGTTTCAAAAATTATTGGAGTGATTAATTATTAATCAGCAGCATTAAGATACCCAACTAATCTGTTTTATATAGTTTAATCACTATTTTTTACATTTATAATTATGATAATGCCTATTGGATAATATGAGGAAGTTCAAAATATTACTTGACTGTAT